CAGGAGGCGACAGGAAGACGATGAACGAAGGCGTGAAGAGAATCACAGACGTCAACAAGAAAATGCCAGGTTCAGTGCCATTATCGAGTTGTTGGCACCTGTTAACCTTCAAGCAGCTACTACACCTGCCTCTTCGTCCACAGGTGCACCTGCAGGGTCCTCTTCAACTTCTTTGCCCCCCCCACAGAAAGCACTCGCTCAGAGTCCACCGCCACTCCAAGCTGATGCCTCGTTCCAGGTATTCCGTGAATGGCGTCGGAGGTGGGACGATTATTCGATGATGGTCGATTTATCAAGGTTGCCTAGGGAGAAACAGCTGATCCAGATGAGGATGTGTCTCACCCTAGAGACGCAACGTATCCTGGAGCACACCCTGCAAATTCCCCACGACACAGACAAGTGTGTGAAGGACGTCTTGGATGCTCTACAGACGCATATCAAGGGCCTCCGCAACGAAGCTCTCCGTAGGAGAGAACTTCTCAGTTGTAAGCAGCTGGAGGGTGAGTCGTTTGCCGATTTTTACGTACGACTCAGACGCATCGCTGAGGAGGTTGACGTTTGTCCTGGGAACTCGTTGACTTGTGAGGAAACACAGCTGAAGATGATTATCCTCATGGGCGTGCGGGACGAAGAGCTTATTCAGAAGCTTATCTCCCTCGACACTGCCTCTTCTCTACAGGATGTTGTCACCACCTGCCGCTCTTACGAAGCCACCAGAAGTGCAACTTCTGCCATTCGTGCTCCATCTAACCAGCTGTATGCCATCTCCGCATATAAGAAGAACAAAGGACGTGACCGGACTTCAGCTTCACATCCGACTTCAGCTTCACATCCGACTTCAGCTTCACATCCGACTTCAGCTTCGCATCAATCTTCAGCATCACTCCAGACTTCGACGCCAGGTCATTCCTACCAGTATTGTGCTCGTCGGCATGGCTCTGAATGCCCTGCCGCTGACAGCACCTGCAATAACTGTGGCCGTCGTGGTCATTGGGCTAGGACACTGAAGTGCCCTGCCAACAACGCTCAGTGCTGCTCCTGTAGCCGCATTGGACACTATGACAAATGCTGTCAGTCAAAGAAGAAGAACGATACTACTTGCAAGTCTCAGGCGGCGAAGAACAAGCGCTGTTGTCGCGTGTGATCCTCTTCTTCCCCTGTCAGCAAGACACCTCAGCCCATCTGTGTTCACCTGTCATACGGCGACGTTACATCCCGTATCCAGATGCTTCCTGACACAGGTGTGGACGTCACAGTCATCGGCACAAGACACCTCGACATTCTGCGGATCCCTAGGAGCAGCTTGCAACCACCGTCAACTTCTACAACGCTCACCGCAGACGGTTCGACAATGGCACCTGCTCTGGGTACATTTCAGGCTACCCTCACCCTAGGTAAGCAGTCATGTTCTGCCAGGATTCAGGTCCACAAAGGTGTTCAGATGCCACTACTGTCTTATGGCCACTGTCAAGAGTTGGCCATAATATCTTCAGACTTCCCTAAGCCAATTCTGGAAATATAACATGTCAACAGGTGCAAGGAGCTGCCCCTCCCACCCAATATGTCACCTTCTGCAGCCAGGGAGTTCTTCCTACTGCAATTCAAGGACATGCTGGTTTCCAAGGAGGACCTCAAGACGGCTCCACTCAAGCCAATGGCTGGCTCCCCCATGAGAATTCACCTGAAGGATGACGCAGTACCTTTCGCCATCCACACACCGAGACAGATACCCTTCGCTTTCCAGAGCCAAGTTAAGAAGGAACTCGACTCTATGGTAGCCCAGGGGATCATTAAGCCTGCTGGTGACGACCCCTCGGATTGGTGTCACCCCATGGTAACAGTCGCCAAGAACATTACTGGAGTTCGTATCACCGTCGACCTCACCAAGCTGAATAGCCAAGTTTCCTGCCCGACCCACCCTTCACCGACACCCTTCGCCGCTATACGCAGTGTGGACCCGAAGGCAAGGTACTTTACTACAGCAGATGCCTTATGTGGGTACTGGCAGATGGAACTTGCGGAAGACGATCAGCACCTCATGACGTTCATCACACCGTACGGCCGATTTCAGCACTGCAGAGGACCTATGGGTTTCGCGGCTACTGGTGATGCTTTCTGCCTCCGTGGTGACATGGCCCTTCAGGGTGTGGCAAACTGTGTCAAGGTCATCGACGACGTGCTCCTATATGACGAGGATTACTCCACGCATCTTGAGCGTATTCACCAGATGCTCACCAGGTGCCGCAAGTACGGGATCACCCTCAACAAGGATAAGTTTGTGGTTGCCCCACCTAGTGTGAACTTCTGTGGGTACACCCTCTCAGGCAAGGGCACCTCGGCTGATCCTAGAAAGGTCAGCGCGATCCGGGACTTCCCAACTCCTGCCAACCTGACCGACCTCCGCTCGTTCATGGGCCTGGTAAACCAGTTGGCTGAGTTCAACCCCGACATCGCCGCTGCAGCACAGCCTCTACGCCCCCTGATGAGCCCCAAGAGAACATTCACCTGGACAGCTGACCATGATGAGGCGTTCCGTCGCGTCAAGACAGCTCTCCTTAGCCCACCTGTTCTCCTCGCTTTCTTCGACCCGGCCCTGCCAATTGTTCTCCAGACTGATGCCTCTCGCCTCTACGGGATTGGATACGCTCTGCTACAGGACCACGGCAATGGACGCCTTCGTCTGGTTCAGTGTGGCTCTCGGTTTCTCACTGACGCCGAGACTCGCTACGCCACCATCGAACTGGAGCTGTTAGCCGCCGTCTGGGCCATGTCCAAATGTAGGTTGTATCTGATCGGCCTACAACACTTCAACCTCATGACGGATCATCGGCCACTCATCCCGATCCTGAACCACTACTCCTTGGATGCGGTCGAGAATCCCCGCCTCCAACGCCTTAAGGAGAAGATCTCGCCCTACCTCTTCACAGCTGTGTGGCGTGCTGGCAAGCTGCTCTGCATCCCTGATGCTTTGTCACGAGCCCCAGTCAGCCACCCCACACCAGAGGACGAGATCGCATGTGCTGATGCTACTGCACACCTCAGGACCGTAGTGACCGTGAACGCCGTCATCTCAGAAGAGTCTCCACCGCAGGACGCCGACAGGACTCTTCAGGAACTCCGAGCCGCGGCAAGAGCGGACCCTTCGTACATCCGTCTACTGAACTGCGTGACCTCGGGATTTCCCTCCAACCGGTACGACTTACACAGCTCTTTACTCCCATACTGGAAGATGCGAGACGACCTCTATGCTGATGGCGACCTCGTCTTGTATGGAGCAAGTGTTGTGGTTCCTGCCGCCCTCCGCCGCCGCACCCTAGCCCACCTGCACGACAGCCACAGGGGTGTGGAAGCTACGAAGCGCCGAGCGAGACAAGCTGTTTTTTGGCAAGGCATCGACTCCGACATCGCTAGTTCCGTTCAAGTCTGCGAGCCATGCCAGGTGCTGCAGCCTAGACAGCAGCAGGAACCCCTCATGAACAACGACAACCCTACGAGGCCCTTTGAGTCCGTCTCTGCGGATTTCTTCGTTGTGGCGGGAAAGTCTTTTCTCGTCATCGCCGACAGGCTCTCAGGGTGGCCTGTTGTCGTTCCCTGTGGAGGCAACACTACTGCCTCTCATACAGTACGTATGTTCTGTCGCTACTTCCGGGAAGTTGGTGTCCCTCTCCGCCTGAGGACTGACGGCAGGCCCCAGTTCACCAGCAATGACTTCCGGGACTGCATGGAGCGATGGGGAGTTCATCATGTGGTGTCCTCGCCACATTATCCCCAGTCCAATGGACATGCCGAGGCTGCCGTAAAGTCCGTCAAGCATCTCATCCTCAAGATGGCACCCTCAGGCAACATTGACTGTGAGAAGTTTGACCGGGGTTTATTGGAATTGCGGAATACCCCCAACTTCACAGGTCGCTCCCCAGCACAGATGTTATACGGCCACCCACTACGGTCATGTGTCCCTGCCCATCCTGAGTCCTTCTCGAGGGAGTGGCAGGCCAAGACCGAGGACTGCGATCGTCGTGCAGCCGCCCGTGCTGACCAGGTAAAGGCACAGTACGATCAGCACGCCCGACCCCTTCCCAGGTTGAGTATCGGGCAAACAGTTCGGGTTCAAGACCCGACGTCTCACCGCTGGGACAAGGTCGGGGTTGTCATGGGCTGCGGCAAGACCAGGGATTACGAGGTCCGTCTCCCTAGTGGTCGGGTATGGTGGCGGAATCGCCGCTTTCTTCGTTCAGTACCGTCCCCTAGTGGTGAACCCCTCCCCCACATCCCTGTGAACCCTTGCTTGGACGAGAAAAGTAAGTCCTCATTCAGTGACCCCCCCAGTTTTCCCACGTCACTCTCAAAGGCTCCTGGAAAAAGAGTCCGCTCGAGATTGCACTACGAGCGTGAGGGGGGACGGAGGTGTAGATATATGAGGCGAATATGGCTGTAATATGTAACTCTGTACTATTTACCATTATTGATTCAGGTCTCTGTATTGTATGTTTTATAATCACACTCCCTTTTGTCACCAAGTGTTAGTTCATGTTTTGGGCACATGCGCGCTGTACGCGCATGCGCAGATAGAGATACCCAGAGAGATTCCAAGACAGGACGCTGTTTACCCCTGTCTTAACTCCTTTTTGTGTTTGTACCAGAAATAGAACTTACGGACTTGACATCAGTGTGTTTCGTTTACCCCTGAGTGTAAGGACCACCTGAGTATTACACAGAACCGATTACTGTATTGGGGGACTAATACTACAGCTGGTGGACCGCCATATGCAAGCGAAATCATGTTCAGGTTGGCTCATAAGAAACTCGTTAATCGAGGGATTGCTCGTTAACCGAAGTTAAGAATCTTATGGAAGGTAACTCGCTAACCGAAATCTCGTTAACCGAGACGTTCGTTAACCGAGGGACCACTGTACTGTACTGTATATGAAATTTTATTCATAATTTCAGCAATTTTTTATTTGTGTGATTTGGTACAACATACAGCTCTGAGTTCTAACTAATGATTTTTGATATATTACAGGGGGATTTGGAATGTTCCATACATTACTGGAGTCTACCTCATCCAGAGAAAAGTTCTTGAAAACCCTGAAACACGGCCAAACTACATCTTTAAGCTGTATGACGCCGACATGGCAATGGCCACCAACATGAGGGAAAAGGTAAGTAAATAAAAGTACCTGTTAATGACAGTGTGGATGCAGTACACTTTCACTAAGCCTCTGGTACACAAGGAAGCTCTGCACTCAACCACCTTCCTTAACCCAGCTGTAAATTTAGTTACTGTGTTGAATGGAGTGAGAGTGCCCCTGGATTAAACTTGTAACCCTTAGGACAGGAGGTGAGGGTAAAGATTCATTTTAGGTCAATGATGGAAAATACTAACAAAAATAAGTTTTCCTAGTGTATTTTGTGTTGTTTCAAGTGAATCTGACCTTCATTTATGTCGCAAATGAGCCATTACAGGGATGTGACCCACCCCAGTTACCAACAATACATGTATTGGTTGTTCAGAGTGGGCAGGGCTTTGAAGTAGAGGGAAAATGCTAAAAAGAACACCAAACCAACCTTTGAAAATCTTACCTAACCTTTCCTAACCTGTAAAAGATTAAAAATTGCTTTCGAGTTTATGGATCCCTCCTCATCTAAACACCGAAAGCAATACCACCATCACATACTAAACACTGAAAACACGATTAATGTAAGCAGCTGTCTTGTTTACTAATCTCACTGTATTTTATGGGTTGTGGCCCGAGACATTGTTGTTTACATGGTGCATGCCTCCTCCTGTGTGGGAGATCATGGGGCTCAGGGGTGTCCCACTGCCCCCCTTGTATATAACCCACATTGTCTGTCTTCGTTTTTCATCAAATCCTCCCTCTTCTGCTTCGAGCACATGAGGAGTTTGTTGTGCTGTTCCCTCTGTATTATTGTGTAATCTGGGCTTATGCATATGGTTCAAAATGTTGTGTTTCCTGCTATGTTTTTTGCCTGCCAAATGATATCCCACTTCCTCATTCTATAATGTCATCCTAAGGGGCTGAGGCATATTCTCCTGCTTCTGCCCTAGCATCCTCACTTTGTTAGGGGTAGCTGACAAGTTCAGCACCTCAGTACAGATATTTTAAAACTTCATCTTGTCATATGTTTTCCTACTTTCAGCTTCGTCCGACTAACTCTCATGGATTGCAAACATAATTACTGTATATTGTTCCTGTGCTCGAGTCAGTCTCTGCATTCCCCCTTTCCCATATCAATAAGCCTACTAGCTGTAAGTCTTTCAACACCCCTCTGCTGAGCTCCTAGCTGCTGCATGACCTGGTCAAAACCTACATCTCTCTAGGTTACCTTTTTTGCTTCTGCCTCGACCTGGGCATAGCTTTTCTTAACTACCCCCTCTAATCCTGGCAGCTGTTTCTTCAGTCTTAGCAAGGATCTTTTTATCAATTTGCTCTAGTTTGGCAACCACCTTAAATCTGGCTTCCTGTATTTTTGACTCAAAATATTGTAACTCTTCCCCTTGTGGTTCTCAACTGCCTCATTGTCTTCGTTTTTACAATCAGAGCAACACCAGCAATGGGTTCCATCCTTTGTGTATGTTTGGACTGTCCTGAATGCTGGCTTCTTTATCCCAACATATGAGATTAGTGCTAATGTGAACATGTGAAATTATTGTTAATATGAATATGCGAGATTATTGTTAATATGAATATGCGAGATTATTGTTAATATGAATATGCGAGATTAGTGTTAATATGAATATGTCTAAAAAGCCTTTCCATTTGTCGTAGAAGCTATATTGCATCTAAATGTAAATAAAGTTATAAGGTTAAACCATGCCTAACACTTTTGTGTAATAAATTCGAAATATTTGCAGGGAGTGTTCATGTTTGTGAGTAACATGGAGGACTATGGACACTTGGTGGATCCTGACTACTTCCCAACAAAGTACCTGCACAATGATATGTGGCAGATGAAGGCAAACCGGAAAGATTGGGAGGAGCGTTATATCTCTCCTGAATACTGGACAGCTCTCAGCCCTAAAGAACTCAATCTAATGGTAGGTTTTTGGCAACCCCTGAGTTGTAAAAGATTAACACGTTGTACGGTCAGGTTTGATCTCCACTTTGTGAACAACAGTCCCACGTTGTACAACTCACATGGGGTAAAATGTGGGAAGTAGTGTTCACTGCCGCAAAGGATTTTTATTTGGTTTTAGTTGGATAGTGTGTTGTGTTTTTATGGTATCTTTAGCACTCCTATAATTTCGAATTTCAGGCTTAATGACATATAATGGCTTGTCACTGTCTGTGCAAATCAGGTTGTCAAGCAATGTAACACCCTCCACATAATGCTTGGATAAATTAACTTATATTTTATAATGTTATATCAATTATGCAACATTTCTATTGTTTTTTACTGATTTTGTTATAAATATTTTTTTTTAATATACCTGTACAGTATAGTTTCAATAATTCCAAGGTTAGGTTAGATTTAGGATGGTATTAGAAAATGTCTCTAGTTAATGCCTGGTCAACATGTTGAAACAGATATTTTCAATTTACTAGTACAGTACAGTGGTCCCTCGGTTAACGAACACAATTCGTTCCAGAAGGTCGTTCGTTAACCGAAAATTTCGTTAACCAAAACCATTGTTTCAATGGGATATTGGGTAATTGGTTCCAGCTCACAGAAAAGTATATACAAAGTAAAGCCAGAATATAATTACATTGCTGGAATTCTTATAAGATAGTGATTAATTTGAATATAAACAAGCTAAAATTTGCATTAGACATTCAAATTTTAGATTTAATTTAAGATTTTATTAGGGAGAGCAAAAATTTTATCTATTGTGCAAAATATATGAAGTTTATATTCAAAATATTCCCTGTCTTGCAAGGATTTCAGCAATGCAAATTATATTATCCTAACTTTAGTCTGAGATATTATATAAAATAAACACCTTAAAGCATAAAGAAATCACCAATCTTTTGTCTGGGAACAGCAAGGAGGGAGGGAGCCAGCGAGAGTGGGAGTAGGGGGGCAGTGGGAGGTGAGGTGACAGAGTGTCTGGAGTTTGTTTATTTATTTGAGATTTTTGTTTTTAGCTCATAAAATTCTTAGAAATTACCAAGCCATAATATAATTTACATTGCTGGAATTCTTATAAGATAGTGATTAATTTGAATATAAACAAGCTAAAATTTGCATTAGACATACAAATTTTAGATCTAATTTAAGAATTTTATTAGGGAAAGCAAAAATTTTATCTTTTGTGCAAAATATATGAAGTTTATATTCAAAATATTCCCTGTCTTGCAAGGATTTCAGCAATGCAAATTATATTATCATAACTTTAATCTGAGGTATTATTTATTTTTAAACCTGTAAATCTAGTCTTTTTACCCAAACGTTTCTCAGGAAGGTGGTGCCTGTGGTGTGAAGTATTTAATTGTTAGTTTATTTTTTTCTTTTAGATTGAGTTTTAGTTTTTGCTTATAAAATTTAATAGAAGTGACTGGGGTGAATTTAATTTGCATTGCTGGAATTCTTATAAGATAGTGATTAGTTTGAATGTAAACATTGAAGAGATCACTGAATTGGCTGAGTACCTCCTTAGCTTATCAGCTGATGTTCAAAACAAAATGTGATTTTTGTAAGGATTTCGTTAATCGAATTTTTTTTCGTTAACCGAATTGAAGATTCTTATGGAAGGTAATTCGTTAACCGAGGCGTTTGTTAACCGAGGGACCACTGTACAGTACAGTATTTCAAGCAATTTCTTGGCTTCAGCTTGACTCCCTACATCCCCCTGGTCTGGATAACCACTACAATACATAGATTTGTGTATGTACAGTAGATATGCACACTAGTTTTATTGCAATCTTATTTTGCAAAGATTTGAAAGTTATAGTAGAAGAACCTGTTGGAAATTTCACCCATCAGACAAAATTTTTCCAAATACTGTACAGTACAGTGGTCCCTCGGTTAACAAACACAATTTGCTCCAGAAGGTCGTTCGTTAACCAAAAATTTCGTAAACCGAAACCATTGTTTCAATGGGATTTTGGGTAATTGGTTCCAGCTCACCGAAAATTACATTCAAAATAAAAAAAAAAAATGCAGTAAAGTACACTTACTTTGAGGTGTGTATGAAGAAGGCTCCTGGTTGATGATGATGATGATGGGAATTAGAAGTAGGGGTGGAGGAAAAGAGAGAAGAGAAGGAAGTGGGGGTGGAAGAGAAATCACCCCATGCTTGATGCCGTCGTTTCACCCATAAAATTTTAAGTTCACTAGGTATAATTCAAGATTATTTTCTTTAAATCAACACTGCACTGCTCTATATATTGTCAATATGTTAAATACATTTCAGAATGACCAATAGTTGTACTGTGAAAACATAAAAATACTCTGTGTTCAAGAAACCCACAAGCAAGATGTTTCCTCCACTGAACAGAGATACAAACTGAGGCCTTGGTGGGTGAGTGAAGTGGCTGATGGGCGCACCAAAAACTAGTTTCCTGTACAAGATCCCTCGGTTAACGAGCGCCTCAGTTAACGAGATTTCGGTTAACGAGTTACCTTCCATAAGATTCTTAACTTCGGTTAACGGGCAATCCCGCGATTAATGAGTTTTTTACGAGCCGACCTCAACATGTTTTCGCTTGCATTTGGCGGTCCACCAGCTGTGGTATTAGTCCGCCAATACAGTAATCGGTTCTAGGGCTTAAATTCCTTACTATTTTATTAAATATCAAGAAGTTTATAATATTCAATAATTTTAAAAGTTTTATATTAAATTTTTTGGTCATTTTAACAATTATTGTACATAATTGAAGTACAGGAAGCTAGTTTTTGCGCGCCATACTGTTACGGGCCAAGTTATTTCTCTTTATATATCCCACCTAAGCTGCCATCATTTGTAACGGGCCGTTTTTTTCTCTTTATAATTTACCATCCAGATATTCTTTTCTGTTAGTATTCTTATTTATTCATATACTTATATGTTCTTTGTAGCATTCTTTCCAATATCCTGTTTTATATAGTTATCCTTCTTCAATTCTTTACATATATACTTATTCTTATATATTCTTATATAAGTAACTCTTATGCTTCTCTGCTTATACAGGTATTTTCCAAGTCAATGTTCTTCCTTTTCACTTTCTTTCATATATATTATATTCTCTATCATATATTTTGTTCTAGTTATATTCTAAACCATGGATTAATCTGGGAAACCATGTCTTTCTTATTACCACACTTATTATACTTACAACGGTAGACCTGCCACCACCCAGAATTTTATTAGAATACAACATATCTTAGTTAACTGTTAGGTAGTGAGCTTCTAGGCAAGTGAGTAAGTCTTATTTTCTGGGAACCAATGTTTAGAAGGAGTAGAGAGGTGATACTCGTAGATTACTAATTCAATATTTATTAACACAGTGAGTGAATAAGATGTTACTTCAATTCACCCAGACAAAACTGGAAACTCAGGTCTTACTGTATTATTGATAAAATGGATCCACAATTAATTATTAATTCATGAAACACTTCAAGTACTTATTATATCATTAAACAATCATTATATTATGTCATTGTCACTACAGATGGCTGTGTGACACACTGGACAATATCCCAAATTAAAATACTATTTATAACAACACGCTATTTCGGAATGCAGAACCTGGTATTTCTCCCTCAATTGATGTACTCAACTCACACAACATATTTACTGATGCCATCAATTGTTATGGGATCACTACTCAACCTGTTATTCATCACCAATCATATATTATCACCAGTCATATACAACAACAATAATACTTAGGTCCATATAACTGTAAGGAGTGCCCCAGGGTAACGCTGGTATCTCTACAACAAATGAAGATCGCTGTTAGGGGTCGGTTGTAGACCGACACATGCCAAGGGAGTTGGCGCCTGATTTGCAGGAAACGGACTTCCCAGTTTAATCCTGTCGAATTAACGGCATCGTCAAACCCAGCTACCGACCCACAGTAGCCGATGAGTATTCAGCTCAACACACTGGAGAGACGTTGAGAAAGAGTCATGAATGCATGAATATTTAACTTCAACTATACAAACATACGTCTGGCAACGGTCTAGACGATACTTACTTTATATTAATCCTTTCACTGGGTAAATGAAAATTTCACTGTTACAACATGAACACTGATATTCACAAAATTGACTAAGTTAAACTGAATTTATATGGTGGCGTGGAACACACGTTAACATACCTGGAGAGACGTTGAGGAAGAGTCACGAATGCGTGATTCTCCCGCGGGTATCGGTATATACGTGTGCCCGCGGTGCAACTCTAGCCCAGTCATTCATACCAGAATGGTTGATTTCACCAACACCAGACCTTCTCTACCATTTTGGATCGCTGTATACTTAGTTATGAACTTCATTGTTCTTGATCAGAGTAATTTCCTATGTCTATTCATATAATCTAATCAGAGATTGACCTTGCCAGGAAAAAGTGGAAATACACACGTTGATAACATTAGTTCTCCCAACATCAGCGAATTTCTAGATAAGGACCCTCTATGGGTATAGGTTGAGATCTTGGAGATAAGAAGTTTGACTTTTTCTTTCAGGAGATTAATGGCTTTCTTGAATAGACAACTGACACTAACTAAACTACAAACATCAGATTCTCTGATGTTTGGGCATCAAAACGATCTAATTTCAGTAGTACTCAGAAATGCCTGGCTCTAACCAGGGGCAATATCCTTGAACCCTATTCGTACTGGCAGACTCGACACTCACTTACTTAACAAGTGTTACGAACACTAAAGGCAGTTAAAGCTTTCAACATCACTTACAAAGGATCTTGTATGCTTTAACTGTAATCAGACATATCTAAGTTGACTCAAAACAATGGTGTTCTCTCTCACCTTCAGCTTTACTTTATAGAGAGGTTGGTTTCAGGAAGTCAGAGAAAATGGGATAATGGAGGACTGAGGCGTCTTGAAGCGATGAGAAAACGGACTCCTCAGATGGAGGACTCAAACGAAAGCAGAGTTACATGTTTTGTGGGCTATTGAGCGTGATATGAATTCTCTGATTTTGGCGTTAACTGACGTGTATGACCGTGGTCATTACAATACAGCCTGTCGACACACCATACAGGCGTCAGTCTCTGTGTCTTTTCAGTGGAGGTAACATCTTGCTTGAGACTCTCTTCAACTAAACGCTTTTTTTCTGTGTTTCCAAGCAAATTATTGGTCAATTTGACATTTTTTTTACTTATTAACAAAATATAATGCAGTGCAGTGTTGATTTAAAGAAAACAATCTTGAATTACACCAAGAGAACTAAAATTTATGGGTGAAATGGCGCCATGGGGTGATTTCTCTTCCACCCCAATGCCTTCTCTTCTCCCTTCTCCTCCACCCCCATTCTAATTCCCATCATCATCATCATCATCCAGGAGCCTTCTACATACACACCTCAAAGTAAGTGTACTTTACTACCTTTTTTGTTGATTTTAGGCAATTGTGCTTGTTAACCGAGGGACCACTGTACTGCAATTATGTTAAATAAGTGTTAAAATGACTAAAAATTTTAATATAAAACTTGGAAAATTATTGAATAGTACAACCTTCTTGATATTTACTCCAAATTTAACGAATGTAAGACATAGAACCGTTTTCTGTATTGGCGGACTAATCTTCCAGCTGGTGAGCAAGCCAAAGCATGTCGAAACATTTTGTAAGAATTTCATTAACCGAATTTTTGTTCGTTAACCAAAATGAAGATTCTTATGGAAGGTAATTCATTAACCGAAATTTCGTTAACAGAGGCGTTCGTTAACCGAGGGACCACTGTACTTATTTACAAAATTTTCCAAAATACTTTTCTAAGCATGTGTAAAACATGTCAAAATATTGATTTAGGCATGTGTCTAAATAACTGTGGTTTGGAAAGATTGGTAAAAGTATTTAATGAGAAGTAAAAGGGAAAAGGCAGGAATAAGAAGTTGGAAGGCTGGGTTGAAGAAAATAGTAGAAGAGAAGGTGATGGACATCCAGGAATTAGCAGAGCACATAAGAGGTAGGAAATTAGTGGCTGGTCTATAACCTTAAGAATTGGGAAGAAAGAACAAAATTAAATCAGTATCTGACCAACTGTTTTTATGTGCCCTAACCAGCCAAATTTATAGTGTGCTTTAATTTACAATTGTTGCACATCTGTCGGTGACAGTTGTGGGTACTGTAACTAAAAAGTTTCCCTGATGAATAGGAGGTAACCCTTCCTGGACCTCAAGAGACATCATTTAGTCATAGAACTCTTCATTATGAATCTAAACATTAATCAGTCATGCTAATCTTTTCGTATTGCCAACAGGGGGATACATACTCCCTGTGCCCCAAGGTACAGAAGTTTATGCAAAATAGAACAAAAGCATTTTTTTTTCGCCCTTAGTACTGCAGGGAAAAGTGTTACAAAACTATTAAAAATATATTTAGTGTAAGGAGACACTAAAGCACTCTGTGAACTATAGTGTAGGAGAATATGATAATAAGAATACTTGTACAGTGATATCCCCGTTAGTCGGAACAATTGGTGCAGAGCACTTCCTGGAGTGAGAGATTTCTGGGTAACAAGACGACTCTCAAAGCCGGAAAAAATCCCTCTTCCCTGGAGTTTTCTGGGTAACGGAAAAATTTTCTCGGAATTTCCAGAACATGGTCTGATTTTCATCTCTCAAACCCGGAAAAAACTCCCCCATCCCCGGAAATGTCCGGGTATCGGGAAATTTTTCTCTGAATTTTCCGGAAAATGTGCCCCTCGGAAAATCATTTCCAAAGCAGGAATTTTCCAGAAAATTCCGGCTTTGGGAACAATTTTCCGAGAAAATTTCAATTCCAGCTATTGGAGAGTTCCTGGTTTGAGGGGTTGCTGCTAACAGAGATATTACTGTACAGGTAGTTTTAATCTGAATAATCACATATGGTTACAAAGAGAAAACTGGATGGTTGTATATGTGATGAATACTAGTTAGTTTATAATATGGACTTGATGTATTCCCAAAGTTATATTTTTCCCTCTTTCTTCCAGCCATGCCCTGATGTTTATTGGTTCCCATTATTTACACCAAGATTCTGCACGGAACTCATTGAATTGGCAGATGATAATGGTGGCTGGTCAGATGGTGGCAACCAAGTAAGTCTGATACCCTTTATTTGCTGTTGTTCGTATAGTTTTCATACTGTGTTAAGAGTGTATTGTATACTTTTATTCATTGTTTCAATTTTAACTTTTTTGCTATGTTCACATACTTGTGAAAAGAAGAGTCCAAAATGAAGGATGGTTCCTGATAAAAAATTACGACTGAGCTTGGAGCAGACCACTCTTGTAGTACCCAAGTAAGATTAAACACTGCTGATTGGTACTAATCCATTGATTAGAAAACATTTTGTTTTTAATAAATAATGCAGGAAGAGACCACACAGTGGCATTACAAATATATTCACCATGTTGTCCCTGGCCAAATACAGAGTATTGAAAATATTTATAGTTTTATGTTTTGACCTGTTGGGGTTATATGATACAGGAAAAGCACTCTATGACAGGGAGTTCTACTGAGTGCTTGTTCAGTGTATAAATAAGTTTTGGTAGACAGAGGTTCTACAAGATGGACTAATAACAAAAGATATGGTCCAATCCAAATGATCTTGTAGGCTAACGATGGAGGAGTGTTGATGGAGTGTACCATATTTTGGTGAATATAAGCTATACCTTTTTTATTCCTAGAAAATTTGGTAAAAGTGGGGGCGCAGCTTACTATCAGATACAAATTTTAGTAACGCCTCAAAAATACCCATAAATATTACCAAAATTCCTGGTGTGCTCTAGCACCACCTCAAATCAATCCCTACCACCATTACTACCTCACCCTTAGTCAAAATTAACATCATTACCATCATCACTTTGCAAATCATCAACCCGTGAATTTGTTTAAAGAATAAAGTTCAGTAACCCATACCAGCTGTCTACTAAACCCTCAAAGTAATACAGTAATAAAACATTAAAACATTTACTGATACAGGCATTAAGTTGACCATAATTGTTTATTCTTTTATCATAATAAAATGACAATATTATTTGTATGGTAGATTTCTGAGGTAGTAGGTAGTAGGCAGCTACCGAACAGGGAGGAACTACCACCTGGGAAGACATTGGAAGCATAATGTGTTGTCTAATGGTAGACCCTGCTGCCATATGGCATCACAAAAATTGTGACCAAGTCCAGTGAGTTCTGCTATAACGCGTGTTTTGACAACGCGAATTGGCTCTCACGCGATTTATGAATAGAGGAACGATATTTGTATAACGCGAACGCTTGTTTGCTGTAACGCGATTTTTGCTTACTATTTCTCCAATTTTGTGGTATTAACTGTGAATATGGTAAAGAAGAATATCTCCTAGAAGCGTTCTGGTGATCGCATTCCCGGTGATGATCGTAAAAGAAAGGCTATAACCCTTGAAGAGAAGCTCGATGTTATCTACCTCGAAATCACCCTTCTCCCCCATCAAGTTATATTCATATTTTTTCAGGGTAAAGTGTTACATTTACTGTATGATTTCATTATTAGATATGAATGTAACATTTATTTAGACTGTGCTATCCTTTGTGTTAGGCTAACTACTAAATTTTTTTCGATTTCGAGTAGTAATCTGCACCTAACCCTATTTTCTCCATAAGCCCTATTATTTCTATTACACGAATTTCTATAACACGATGTTTTACAAGAACACAACTATCACTTTATACCAGAACTGACTGTCCCAGGTTGCTCATCTGACTTTCTGCCTCATTTACACACAATTGTAGGGTCTCAATTGTTTCTATTACATGACAAAACAACATACATATAGCATTTCTCACTGTTGATTTTTTTTCATTCTTGCATTTCTTTGTATTTATTATTATCACAGTGTTGTTATTATTATTATTACCATTAATATTTTATTTTACTTCTTATTATAAATTTTATTTACTATGAATTATTATTACAGTAATACCCCGCTTTACGCGGTTTCACTTTCCGCGATTTCGCATTTACACGTATATCACGGCCTATAAGACGAAATTTGAACATTAAAAAAATCTGCCCAAAGTTAGGGGGTCGTCTAAACCACCAAGTTTAAAATTCTTACCTCTTAAATATTGTGGTTTAGTGTGTCAAGAGTGGTGATGAAAACATCGTAAGCCACTCACAAGGTCTTACCACTAATTATTTTATACTGAAACTTATGTTTGGCAAGCTGGATTCAAATTAAGATTACCGGTATATTAAAATAATAAAAATGTATTATAAACCTGTCTAACATACCGTAAAAGAGATTTATACCCCTGTAATAAACACAGCTATCATCACACATCCCTCCCCACGCCCCCCCCATTTGCCAGTGAGGAGACAAGAAAGGGAAAGTGACCGCGAGATTTGGTTATTTTTAGCCGTGGAGGTGGTCAGTAATGCATACCGGTATCGGTATATTTACTCATAATAATATTTATCTCCTATAAATAATTGATTTAAATTTTATTTTTTTACAAAGAATATTCAGTAAATGAGTGCATTAATTCTTGAAACTATCGACGGTTAATTACAGACGCTCAAGTGACGTCACTAGTGTTTACACTACACCAGCTGGTAATAAATTAAAGAAAATAATTACAGTGTGTTTAATATATTACAGTATATTATAAATAAATAAATAAACAAATAATTCGGTAAATCTATTTCAAGTAAATGGAAAATAAGCAAACATGTTATTTACCAAGACGCGTCCCTCAGGGTGATATGGAGGGGAGATAACAAGGCTATTTATAGCCCGTCTGAAGTGGCCAGTACCCTAATGCACCATAAATAATTCATTGAACATTCATTTTTTGTACATAGTGTATATATATATATATATATATATATAATATATATATATATATATATATATATATATATATATATATATATATATATATATATATATATATATATATATATATATATATATATATATATATATATATATATATATATATATATATATATATATATAAATATGTTTGTGTAATAAATGTATGTAGTAAGTACATACCGGTAACCTTTTCCACTCAAATCCTAATGAAACACCACAATTAGAATACGGTGGTTGCTGTTGAACCACCTGTTGTATAAACAGTTGGAACACAGTCCCACCACTGAGACAAGGGAACACTCCCACCACCGATCGTCTCGTGCGAAGCAAGCGTATAAATGAAAGAAAATACTTGCAGTGTGTTTAATATGTTACAGTATATTATAAATAAATAAATAAACAAATAAATCGGTAAATCCATTTCAAGTAAATGGAAAAATTTTACTCGACACCGACATTAGTTTCAGTTACCGGTAAATAGCAGACGCTTCAGTGACGTCACTAGTGTTTACACTACACCAGCGGGTAATATTTGATGACATTACTTGAAGTGAATTGGCCTTATTTTAAAAAAATCAAGGATGGTTAGTAAAGGACTACTGAGTCAGTGGGTAAGTGTCACATTTGGGGGTACTGGTCTTATACAGCAAATAGAGCTCAAAAGCTACTTTTCAAATGGAAATTTGGGGGCGCCTTGTGCACCCCCACGCTTTATAGGTCGTGGATATAGCAGTACGCGTACCTCGCCAGAACCGGATCTTTCACTTTACGCGCATCTACTCATATACGCTGGAAGCGGCGCGGGCAGGATGCTCACAAGGTCGCCCAGTCATCAAAACATTACCGAATTTTCACCCCCACCCCACAGCCGCCCAAGTCAGTGATAGTGAGGATATGGACTTATATGGACCCCGAGGGGTTTGACAAAGAGGCCCTGCAAGCCTAGTGGTGGATAGTGATACAATTGATACAAGTGATACAGGTGAGGGCCAATAATCTGCCTCTGCCTCGAACCAACCCCCCATCCCTGTGTGCCCAGCCATCTTTTCTACTAATGTAAGTGTTAAAAACTAATATTATTGATATTTCTCATAATTGTGTGTGCATACCATCATAAAATTAAGATGTAATTTTATTTACAACGAGGTATTGTGTCTGGAAAAAGTGAGTTTGGGGGTCGGGCCAGTCTCTATTGGAATTAATCCCATATGTTCTGTTGTTCACTTTTACGCTGTTTCACTTTCCGCGGTACCCTATGGGTTCAATTGACCGGCAGAAATCGGGTACTACTGTATTACATTTTTGCCCCCGGCCCTGATGTGGGTCAGTGACCTGTGCCCGAGTGGGCTAATCCTCGTAAAAAAAAAAAAAAAAAAAAAAAGAGGAGGAAAAGTGTGTAAATCTATTTGCAGTACAGTACATTATAAGATGAACCTATGTTCCAATTATCTAGGTCTAAGAAGCAAACAGTTATAGGTAGTTACTATTATTCTAATATCCTAATTTTATGTAATTTGAACAGGGAGGCATTAGAAAAGGTTGTTTACATTTCACATACATTTAATAATATGTTATCAACCACCTTAAACAGTAATATATACTGGTGCTCTATGGTAACTCAATTATTTTCAGATACTGTATAGCAAATTGTGAATCACACTCTTGAGTCAATGTACTGTACGTACTGTACAATATACAGTACATATTAGTAAATTATAATAACAGATTTTTTCATCTAACAATATATTGTCAATGGCAACTCCACTACAGAAACGTTGGAGCAATTCCATGAGTCAATCACATGACATAACAGACAGCTCACACCTCACGGCTTAAAATTGGGCGCTGCTTATACCTGTATTCATCAATATATGATATTCCTGTAAATGTACAATGCTGGAATAATTTTTTATGCTCTATTTTAAAGAGGGAAAGACCAACAACACAATACAGTACTGTGCCCATACATGATAGCAGTGTTCCATATGGAACACACATGTTTTATATAAATGGCTGCCACCTGCTCGTGTTTAAAGTAGTCCCTGGCTTTAAATGTAAGTTCAAGCTTCATCGAAGAAATTTTCCAGAAAGCTTGACAAAGTCTGAAAATAAACAATGGTATCTTTTAGTTTTCTTTCAATAAATTGAATTTTATGTCATTGTCTTCTACCTCCTTACATAAATTTTATTTACAGTCATGCTACCGGTTAACGTCCTAGATACATTCTGGGAAACGTGACGTTAACCGAATGGGACGTTGTCCGATCATTAAATAAATTTTGTATTTATATTTAAGTGTATGTGGAATACTTTATACGTACATATACACTTTTACTCTTAAATCACTACTGTAATGTGATATAGGTGATTAATTTTTTATCTTTGCAAAATACATGACGTTTATATTAAAATTATTCACTGTTTTACAAGGATTCCAGCAACGCTGGGCAGATGGGGGAGAGGGAGCGAGGGGGCGTGGGGGGAGGGGAGCGGTTTGACAGTTGGCACAGGCCCAGGTCTAACACGTGTATATTTATCAGTTCTTAAATGAATAAGCTTCTCTCTTATAAAAAGCCAGTAAAATGACCTGGGTGAATATAATTTACATTGCTGGGATTCTTGTAAGATGTTGATTTCAAGACTAGACATAACAATTTTAGTACCGTAATCAAATTAGTACATGTGCACTCCAGCTTTGCACTAAAGTCATCTATTTCTTTTACGTTTCTTTTAGTATGGTGTGTGCATGTAAATGGATGAAATAAAATGAAGAAATTTATGTAAATCTACCCAAAAATACAGTTGAAAACTTTATATTATAAAATGTACTACAGTATTGTTACACGTACTACATACAATTTTTATCTCGAAGCAAAATATATGACGTCTTATATTTAAATTAATCTCTGTCTTGCAAGGATTTCAGCAATGCAAATTAAATTTTATAGTTTGAGATATTATATGAAAACTTATGTCGAAACCACCCACGCGAGCGAGCGTGCGGGGGAGGCGAGGGAGGTGAGGCGGTATGTTTGACTTGGCACCGCCCCAGGTCTAACGCTGTTTATTTATCAATTCTATGACTAGCTTCTCTTCTTATAAAAGCCAGTGAATTGTCCTGAGTGAATATAATTTACATTGCTGGGATTCTTGTAAGATGTTGATTTATTTAAATATAAACATCCTATAATTCCACTAGACATAACAATTTTAGTACCGTAATCAAATTAGTACATGTGCACTCCAGCTTTGCACTTAAGTCATTTAATTCTTTTACGCTTTTTAGTATGGTGTGCATGTAAATGGATGAAAATAAATGAAGAAATTTATGTAAATCTACCCAAAAATACAGTTGACAAACTTTATATTATAAAATGTACTACAGGCTGTACCTCTCTAGTCCAGCAACCTCGGGACCTGACCGGTGCCGGACCATGGAAATTTCCGGACCATGGAAATTCACCCTTTTCCTGGATACATAGTGACTTGTGCTTACGCGGGGAAGCACTAGCACCACTTTCTCTGCTTCATGGTCTCTTTGAAGACATATTGAAGGGTTAAATATCGTACAGTAGCTTCTCAAATTTCATGAAGTTTTAATTCGACGCTTATTTGAACCCACAAAAACACATTAAAAAATTTTGACAGCGGAAACCTCAATTTCGACGGGTTTGAACGGCCCACCAACATTCAGACGACGCGGCACAATCCTGTAAACAGCGCCATTTCTCTTATGTACAAAAGATTCATTATTGTTTATTACTGAAAGTCTTTTGATTGAATTAATGTTTGTGTGTGCAAAATGAGCAATACAATTCATAAACACGAGAATATTAAAACACGAGGAAATGAGACAGCATTGTTTTGATTACAAAACCAGTGACTGACTGGTTCTACATATAAAACTGAAGAAAATAAGACCCTGGTTGTAGATGTAGTAAAAATTAATATGGTTTTAAGTAATGTTATTTAATGTTAATAAATGGAACAATAGAAGTAGCTAACGATAATGGTAAAGAAAAAAGAGAGATCGCTATATGTAAGTACACGTTGAAAATATATCGCCATTACTTTTACATAAGAATATGAAAGCAACACTTATTTACTGTTCATAAATATTTTAATTAATGTTTCTGAATTTGTTTTTATTGAATTAATGTTTGTGTGTGCAAAATTAACAATACAATTTATTAATAATACGTGGAATATTAAAACACACGAGGAGACGAGACGAGACGGCTGCCGGCATTGTTTTGTTAAAGCTTACAAAACTGTTATAACCCAATCATTTCTCTGGTAGGGAGGGAAGGTGGGGGTGAGGGGTAGGGGGAGGGAGGACCCAGGAGCAGGTGGAAGAGGGGGGAGGTGGGGTATTTTGATTGACAGATAGTATTTTGGTAAGTATATTTTGTTTATTTATTGAAGATATTTGTTTTAGCTCATAAAATTCATACAAATTACCAGGCCAGAATATAATTTACATAGCTGGAATTTCTTACAATTTGATGATCATTTTGAATATAAACATCATAGATTTTGCATTAGACATACAAATTTTAGATCTACTATAAGTATTTTGTTTACTCTGAGTAAATATGTTATCTTTTCTGCAAAATATATGACATTTATATTAAAAATATTCCTGGTCTTACAAGGAATCCAGCAATGTCAATTATATTATCCTAACTTTAGTCTGAGGTATTATTTATTACTAAAAAGGTAAATATTCTGGTTTTTCCACACACATTTCTCTGGTAGGAGGGTTGGTGGGGATGGGGGAAGGAGGACCCACCACCATCTGGCTGAGGTTGGAAGAGGGGGAGGCAAGGTGGGGTACTTTTGATTGACAGATAGTGTCATGAAGAATATTTTTTTTTTATTAACTGAAGATATTTGTTTTAGCTCATAAAATTCATACAAATTCGCCAGAATATAATTTACATTGCTGGAATTCTTACAATTTGATGATCATTTTGAATATAAACATCATAGATTTTGCATTAGACATACAAATTTTAGATCTACTAAGTATTTTGTTTACTCTGAGTAAATATGTTATCTTTTCTGCAAAATACGTGATATGACATTTATATTCAAAATATTCCTGGTCTTACAAGGAATCCAGCAATGTCAATTATATTATCCTAACTTTAGTTTGAGGTATTATTTATTACTATACCTTAAAATCTAGTGGTTTTCCCCAAACATTTCAGAGAGGGAGGAGCCAGGAGTTTGAGAAGAGGGGAGGGAGTTGAGTCCATTATTTGAATGGACATTAACTTGCGACTGTATTTCTCTATTTCTCTTAAGTATTAATTGTGTGCATGTACCATCATAAAATTAAGATGTTATTTTTACGAGAACATAGGTATTGTTTCTGAAAAGTGGAGTTTGGGGGTCAGCCGGTCTCTATTTCATTTAATCCCATATGTTATGTTGTTCACTTTACACGTTTCTCGCTTTTACGCTGGCCTCCGTGGGTTCAATTGGCTGCGTAAAGTGAGGGTTCACTGTACAGTATAGGGGGTAGTAGGATTTTGATGGTGATACTTATATGACCTATACTGTACTATATTAGGAGGGAAACTCATGTTATTTCTGTTTCATATTCTCAGGACCCCAGATTGGCAGGAGGCTACGAAAATGTGCCAACCGTAGATATTCACATGAACCAGATGGAATATGAACAAGAATGGCTATGGATTCTCCGTCATTATGTGAAGCCACTAGCAGAAAAAGTCTTCTTGGGTTATGATAGTGATGTAAGTTTTACAAAATGTCTTCTTGGTTTGATATTTAGGGCAGTAGGGTCTCATTTTGTGTGGGTATGTGTCCACACATCAGAAATCTGCACATGCGATGCCATTTAACATGTTTTAAAATTGTAACCAACTTAACCTTCCAAAAATTACACATAAATGTCTTACAAATTGCATCTTCATTATTAAATAAATATTTTAAGAAAGCCAGGAAGTTAATTTTATGATACTCCACCAAATAGTGGAGGTGAGGGAACTCTGGGAATGATTGAGTGTGGTAATTTCATCCCTAGCAATGCAACAACTTGGGTCACATTTCACGAATTAAAATTACGGCTTAAAAGAATAAAATAAAATAATGCAAGGTAAAACACAACAAATAATGTAGAACTTTCATAAAACCATTTAAATGTTAATAGATAAAACTCAAAGCTTGTGTAGAAGGCCTGGTTCCTCCACAAAGGAAAGGACATCCACTCCCACTTTACCCACTCCTTTCCAAGCACCAAAGAAAGATGGTAAGACTCCCCCTTAGCACCGGTAGAGGAGCTTACAATGAAGATCTCTGAGACTGGGGCATTCCACCAGGAGGTGTTGACCAGTCAATGGGACCAGGCAGTTATCACAATGGGGAGGGGGTACCCTCTCCATTAAAAACCATGAGTCAGCCATGTGTGGCCAATGCGGAGGCGGGCCAAAGCAGTACCTTGGTGGCATGACATTCCCTGACATCCCAGGGCACCCAATGCAGGGTGGATGTCACGGAGCTTGTTTGCTCCAACAGCTTCCCACATGCATTTACAACTCGAGCAGATGGCAGCTCTTATTACTGGTTTCATATCAGAGGCAGGTAGAGGGGAACTTATCATTGGGCGAGAAGCAACTGCTTTCACCATAGCATCAGCATGCTCATTTTCCTTTTCCTCCAGGTGGGCCGGAACCCAGCAAAAACTGACTTTCTGGCCCTCACGTTGGACGGAAAATAGCCATTGTAATTTATCTATAACTAAGGGATGTGGCAATGAGACATTAACTAAAGCCAGGAGAGCACTACAAGAATTACTAAAAATTTTAAAATACTTATAAGGTTGGCTAAAAATAATCTTGAGGGCAAGTAAAATACTGTACCCAAAAGCTCTGCAGTAAAAATGGATGCCACAGTGAGGAGACTATCGTCCTGACAGAAATCGGGAAAGACCACTCCAAAACCCACCCCTGCATCCTACTTAGAGCCATCAGTGTATGCAGGAATAGTCTTTCTGTGAGAGGAAGCATGCTCTGAAAAAAGAAAATGGGCAACACAAGGAGGGAGTAAGCCCTTCCATTCTTTAAAATACTGACAAACTTGAACTTCAGGAGAATCAATTGGGTAGCACTAGGGGAACCACATGGGGCATATCTGAACAGGAGAAAGACAAAGAATTCTCACAACTTCCCTTACCCGCCGCCGTGGTAGGCTTTGGTGCTAAGTGTAGTGTGGAGACATAGTCTCATCAACTACACAAGTGTTGGTTACAGACTGTGGAAGGCGGTGAAGGAGAAACCAACATTGGACCTGGAGATACTGTTGTTGAAGATCAAGGGGTGGCTCATCAGCATCAACTAGCAGCCTTGGGATTGGCAAAGACCTGAAGGCACTGGTCGCCAGGTACACCCCACCAGTCTCTGGCCAAGGAGTACACCTCATGCCCATAATCCAGTTTGGGTCTAACTAGCATGTTGTAAAGGTGTAGCAGAGTTTTTAAGTCAGCAGCCTCAATAACTTAAGAGCATGCTGGCAAGACTCTTTGAGGTAACATATATGTGGCTGCTGCATAAGCCAGTTGTCGAAAATAATACCCAGGAAGCGGGTCTCTATGACTCACCACACATGATGACCATAGAGCTGTAGATCGGGATCTGGGTGAACACCTCAAAAGCAGGTGAAATGCATGGCAACGGTCTTCAAGGGAGAAAATCTCGCATGCAAGTTGCATGCGACATTCAGCCACTGACATGCGGGAAGCTGCATACCAAATGGACAAGTCATCTGCATACAATGAGATTGATAAACCACCTGGAACTGATGCTGCTACCCCATTTATTGCAATGGCAAATAGGGTCACATTCAAGACACTGTCCTGAGGAGACGATAGTCCAAGGTGAAGGCTAGTCGGATTCAAAGCCTTCAAAATCAACTGCAGACATTTCAGCTTCATCACCAATCTCCAGAGCAGCAGGCCATTGTCACTGGATTCTCCTTGATTTTATTCACATTGTTGAGGCATAAAATAGGCAGTGATGAGAGCTTGGTGGCAGCGTTTAATAAACTCCTGGTAACATTGTCTGTAGGGTTCCAATTATTGTGCACTGAGTTCGTCACTGTGTTTCAGGCTGGGCTCAACAATTATTAAAGCATCCTTGAATTCTTCAACTTTTCTTCTACAGGTATAACTATTTTGTCCTAAATATCTACCGTATATTGTACAAGGCCACAGGGTGTATAAGACGACCCCAAAAATTTCCATTTAAAACGTAGGTTTTGAGCTGTACTCGCTGTATAAGACTACCGCAAATCTGACATTTACCACTGGGAGCTTACTGCCCCATGTCGAAGTTCATAAGTGTTTCATCCATGTTCCCGATGCTGCTTAATGGATAACTGTGTTTCTTACGTTGTTGTATTAAGTAGCGATGGAAATTTTTAATTTTACAGTCAAGATCTGCTGGTAAATTTTGCACTTTTTTTTTCTGCCTCGTTATTAGATTATTTCCTTCCATAAAATAGCTACACCATGAAGCAGTGGCTTTGAAGTCTTTGCTGTGCTCTTGGTTTGCTTTAGCCCACTCAAGTGCCCAAATATGTATTTTGTTTCTTTATATAATGTATCCATTTTGACGCTGCTTATGGACCACGTCTACTGCATGCTTCTCTAGATTTGGTCAGTGTGCAGTACCTCTTCTCATTGCACATTTCTTCCTGGGTATACTCCTTAGCAAGTGTTCCTTTAATCTCCATTCTCGTATTCATCTTCTCAGTTACACCACATTTTCTTGCAGCAGAACAATTGTTGTATGACTTGGCATATGCTACCACTTTCAGCTTAAAACAAGCTTCATATCTCCTTCATTTAGCCTTTGGAGCCATGATGAGGTTTTATGGTAGCTGGATACTAATATAATGTTCACCTGGAGAGAGTGCTACTGCTTATGAAGGAGTGGCAACTTGAGCCTATCCAAGAAACCATCTTTAAATAGCGTACCGGTATTTAAAGACGGCTGTGTTTACTTCGGCTGCAGTTGCAAATGGCGGGCGGTGCATGATGATACCTGCGTTTATTATGTTATTTTATGGTATTTACGGTATGTTAGACAGGTTTATAATACATTTTTATTATTTTAATATACACACTAAACCACAGGATGTAGAGGTTCGTATTTTATACCCGGCGTTTAAGACGACCCCTAATTTTATCGGCTGATTTTTTTTAATGTTCGAATTCTGTCTTATACGCCGACATATACGGTATTCTCTTAACAGAATTAGGTTCATATTGTATTCATAATGAATAACGAAGATATAAAGTGATGTATAAACATTTTCATTAAGCTTAAACAAAATTTTCATGTTCTACTCGAGCTTATGTATAGAAATAATTATTTTTTCGTGATTACTCATATAAAACTATTTGTAGATAATTTGTTTGTTTTCAGATACACGAGTAGAGAAACATAGACAAGTGATTCAGGCATTATTAAACTGAATTTTTACTCAATGTTTAAGAAGAAAGGTTGTCCAAAAATTTTATCGCTAAAGTGAATTAACGTTAAATGAATTAAAACTGCACGAGATATACCTGTATTCTGAATCATATTTTAATTCCTTTTCATCTATAATTTCAAAAGTTCATTTCGTTCCTTAGTATGTTGATTATATTTCCTCCCACACTACAATTTCAAATACCTTGAAGAATCCTTGTACTTATTATAACTGCGTATGATAATACAGTACAGGTGGCCTATCAAAAATCCAGCAACCGATAAACCGGAACCTTCAGTTTTCCGGCATGGATTTCGGAGCGCATTTTCAAATATTTCTTTGTTTATTTAATGAAGATATATGTTTTAGCTCATAAAATTCATACAAATTACTGCCAGAATATAATTTACATTGCTGGAATTCTTACAATTTGATGATCATTTTGAATATAAACATCATAGATTTTGCATTAGACATACAAATTTTAGATATATATGTTACTCTGAGTAAATATGTTATCTTTTGTGCAAAATATATGAAATTTATATTCAAAATATTCCTGGTCTTACAAGGAATCCAGCAATGTCAATTATATTGTCCTAACTTCAGTCTGAGGTATTATTTATTACTAAAAAGGTAAATAGTCTGGTTTTCCCACACATTTATCTGGTAGGAGGGTTGGTGGGGGATGGGGAGGGGAGGGACTGTCTGACCATCTGGCACGGTGTGAAGAATATTTTTTTTTATTAACTGAAGATATTTGTTTTAGCTCCTAAAATTCATACAAATTACCCGGCCAGAATATAATTTACATTGCTGGAATTCTTACAATTTGATGATCATTTGAATATAAACATCATAGATTTTGCATTAGACATACAAATTGTAGATATAATGTTTACTCTGAATAAATATGTTATCGTTTGTGCAAAATATATGACATTTATATTTCAAAATATTCCTGGTCTTTACAAGGAATCCAGCAATGTCAATTATATTATCCTAACTTTAGTTTGAGGTATTATTTATACTAAAAGTAAAATTAGTTTCTTCACCCAACATTTCTCTGGTAGGGATGGAAGGTGGGGGTGGGGAGGTTTGGACCGAATCACCATCTGGTTCGTTGGAAGAGGGGAGGCAAGTTGGGGTACTTTGATTGACAGATAGTGTCGTGAAGAATATTTTTTTTTATTAACTGAAGATATTTGTTTTAGCTCATAAAATTCATACAAATTACCTGCCAGAATATAATTTACATTGCTAGAATTCTTACAATTTGATGATCATTTTGAATATAAACATCATAGATTTTGCATTAGACATACAAATTTTAGATATAATGTTTACTCTGAATAAATATGTTATCTTTGTGCAAAATATATGACATTTATATTCAAAATATTCCTGGTCTTACAAGAAATCCAGCAATGTCAATTATATTATCCAACTTAAGTGTTTAATTTTCTTTGTTTAAAGGACTGTACAGGTAGTCATTTTCTGTTAAACTTATACAGCAAATAATGATAACCATCAGTTTTCCGGCTTGAAAATCCGGCACTCCTCAGGTCCTGAGGTTGCCGGATTTTTGATAGGCCACCTGTATTTTGAAACTGACAACAACTTTAAGAAGAATCCTTTCATTTTCCATTATATTTATCAGTAGATGTGTGAACAAGATTTCACCATTACTTCTTACTCATTTCATATACTGTACTTTGGATGTGAGAAGAAATGTTAAAGACATAAGTATGGCTAGAATAGGAACTTTGTGTCCACCTTTTTTTTTAAGCTAATTATTCTCTTATGACTTACAGGCTCGGGCAATCATGAACTTCATTGTACGATACAGACCTACTGAGCAGTCCTTCCTTCGTCCCCATCATGATTCGTCAACTTATACAGTCAACATTGGATTGAATCGGCAATATTGATTATGAGGTAAGTCTTGTAGCCAAGTACTGTAATATAACTACAGGTTGTACCTCACTGATCCGGCACTTTGGGACCTGACCGGTGCCAGGCTAGGGAATTTTCTGAACCATGGATGGTCAGCATATTATAGTACCAAAACACCTTACACAGCACTACTAAACCATTGTCTTATAGCATTTTAATTTATATTTTAAATTTAATTGATACATGATGGCTCGACTTTCTACTTTTGCACTTCGACAACTGATTAGTGCATAAACCAAGGCATGTGGCGATACATAATACACTACAATAATATTTATTAAGTTTTGATAAATATGCTACACTATTATTTACCAAGTGCCCAAGACAGATCCTGTAGTAAACACCAACCCTCTTGAGTAGTGGCAACAACAGTGCTTGAGAGACAGTGAGTACTGGCAACATTGTTAGGGATATCATGAGCAATAAGCTGTTACCTCTGTGTAAACAAGAGACCTGGAATATACAGGGGTACTGTAATGATTGAATATCAGACCAAAGCTTACAGCCCAGAATTACATCACACATAACAGCAAGTACAGTACAGACCGTGTGGTACCCTAACACCACAGGTTGACACACTGCAGGTCAAGACCTGACCCCGCCTAAGTACATGTGTAACCCTACGATGTAACCGTCTACGAGTTGGGGATTTAGAATATAGTTAAAAGTCTACCCAGATCCCAACAGGCAAATAACAATAAAAAAAACAAAGACAATCGGACTATAAAAAAGGTTAGACAAAGGATGCGTAGTTTTTACAGTATAATAAAAGTACCATAAATTCCTTAACAAAAATATTTCAGTAGCTTTAATTCCTCAACCATACTTCCTAACCTAAACATTAACAGTATATATTTATACATAAAACAATCGTGAAGCAAGGTGGAGGAGACAATATAAGATTACAAATACTTAAGTGCAGAGCTGAGATGGCTGACGAGGCAAGGCTGAGTATTGTAGAAGACTTCCGTAGGTAGTCACTGTGCCGTAGGTTTCCAGGATAGTGATCCTGTGGTCACTTCCCAGAGTGAACTGAATCCTCATCGAACTGGAGCTTATGAAGAAGACTTGGAGGAGGCATGCAACAACCAGATATGGAGAAGGGAAACCCCGAGTGCAACTAAGACTCAGTCATACTGTGTTTCTGTCCCTAGATGGCTTGTTCAGGGTGCTGTAGATCATGACACTGATGGCGTGTTTGTGGCCACACCCTCCAAAGACTCAGAAGGCTGGGCGCCGAAGGAGGTGATCACCTGGTGCCTGAGAGATGATGCATTTCCACTGAGCTCGATAAGGAGTCCAAGAATCAGGTTGTCCACCCCTCTTTATGCCGGACTTGTAGATTATTATAGGGCTGGGTGAGGAGAGCCCAGCCGGAGGATTCGCTGGTTGGAGGTCTTACATATTTGGATGAACGTGAGTGGGTTATGGTCGTAGAAGACTAGGGTTGTTTAAAGACTGGAGGTAACATTCAAACTTTATTGCCAACACCAGAGCCAGGCCTCCTTCTCTATGGTCGAGTAGTTGGGTCTGATGTTTCAATCTCTGGCGCGGAGTAGTACAGGGTGAAGGACATCAGTGGTTGGTCAGGCTGTAGAGCACAGCCTCACTCCTACACCGCCTAGCGCCGATTTGCAAATGGAAGGACAAGGTGTAGTCAGGGGAGTGGGACTACAGGCTTGGAGGCAAGGAAGGCTTTTGAGGCGTGTGGAAAGACTGGCCTTCCACTCTCTGGTTCCAGATGTAAGGGACCGCAGAACTGGTAAGGTCTGTGAGGGGTCCGCCACGCTGGAGAAGTTACTGCAGAACCGACGGTAGTAGCCGACATCCCCAGGAAGCGATGAGTTCCTTCCCCGCCCTGGAGTGGGGAAGGACAAGATGGCTTTTAATGTTTGCGTCCTTGGGTCTCACCATACCATGCCCAACGATATGTCCCAGGCAAGTCACTGATGCCCGGCCAAAAGCAGATTTAGCCAGGTTTATGGTGAATCCAGTCTCTTGCAGTCGTGCGAACAGTATCTCCAAACGCACCAGATGTTCGTCCCAGCCGTCCGACACCACCACCAGGTCATCCAGGTGGGCGAACGTCCCACCTAGGTCTTGAATTAGGTAATTGATGGCCCTCTGGAATGTGGCCGGAGCATTAGAAAAGCCAAACGCCATAACCAAATATTGAAAAAGACCAAATGGAGTTATAAATGCCGAGATTATTTTTGCCCTATCTGTGAGTCCCACTTGATAATATCCTTTCAATAAGTCCACTATAGATATAAATTTGGCACAGCCTATGCTGTCTATTATATCTTCAATCAAAGGTAAAGGGTAGGAGTCTGAGACAGAGACCTGATTCACTTTACGATAATCGGTACAGAAACAAAAAGTGCTATCAGGTTTTGGAATGATAAGGCAAGGTGAAGCCCAGGGGGAGGTACTAGGCTCAGCTAAGTTATGTTTTAAAAAGTCTACCTCCTTTTTCATAATCTCTCTTTTTTGTGGATTTAGTCGATATGCTGATTGCCTAATGGGTTGTACATCATCTGAGATTAGCTTAATATCATGTTTAAGTATATTGCAAAACCCTGGGAGGTCTGACGTGACTTTAGGAAATGTTGATAATAACTTAGTGAGATCTTTTGCTTGAGATGGATTCAGAACAGAAAAATACTCATCCAAGTTGTTGAGTATGCGACTGTTAGCAGGGTTTTCTTTAGGTAGAGGGAAGTCTAAATTCTCCAATAGATCCATGTCATCTGTCTCCGGCTCCGGCCCTGACAAAATCGTATGGAATACAGGTAGGCTTACAGCCTCTGGGATGTCTTCCTCTGACTGCCTGGAATGGTAAAGTTTCATGAGATTAATGTGAACAAGTTGTGAATCTTTTCTGCGATCAGGAGTATGGACTATATAGTTGAGGGGAGATAGTTTATTAGCATGGATTTGAAAGTTTTGATGGAATTGTTCCAAGCAACCTTGTGATTGTGGGTGGTAAGCCAAAGATGTACAATGGTCCACACTGAGGTCTTTCATCACCTGTTTGAACACAGATGGATCAGATTGTTGGGCTTTAATGAGCTCATCCTTACTAATGGTCTTACTGTACAGATCTTCTGTGGGTAGGAAGATATTGGAGGTGGTTTTAGATGAAGAGGGCCCATTTCGCACACTCTGTGACCGGGTGCCAGCACAAGATGGGAAAAGGTGAGGAATAGTTTCTTCAAGGTCAGTGGTGGAGTTGACAGGTAAGGGAGAGTCGACTGTCTTTATGTTGGGAACCACTAGATCTCCTACCAAGTCATTATGCAATAATAAATGAATGCCGCTCACAGGCATTGGATCTTTCCTAATGGCTATTTGCACTTTCCCAGTAATCAAGGGACATTGGAGGTGCACTTTAGCTAAGGGATAGGAAGAATGGGAGGAGAGATCTGAAATTAGAACACTCTCGTTAGTAAATGCGGTAGATATATCAGAATTGACGTTAAACAGGAGTATAGATTGTGCTGCGCCCGTATCACGTAGTATACGAATAGGGAAAAAACGAGACCCCTCTATGATTGAAATTTTTCCCTCATAGGTGAATGAAGAGAAGAGATCCTGATGGGGCCTTTCCACATTGGTGGTTGTTATTGGTTTGGATTTGGGATCCAGGGAACTACTTTTAGCAGTTCGACACTTTGGGTGTTTACAAGACTGGATCGTATGGCCTGGATTTTTACAGTAAGAACAATAAAACTTGGTTGCATCAGTGGGGGTAGATGTGGAACCTTTCGACCTACCACTCACGTCCCCAAGGTTATCATCAGAGGAGGACCTAACATGCCGGAAAGTACCACGTTCCCTACGGCACAGTGACTCCATCAGCAAGGCGTACGCATCAGCCAGCTCAGACGCACGTCCTAAATTAACCTCTCCACGCTCCTCCACATGCTTCAAGATGTGAAATGGTATCTTGCTCTTCCACTCCTCCAGGACTACCAAGTTTAACAAATCCTGAGGTGGCCATTAAGAAAACCTAGATAAATTAATTAATGGTCAAAAGATAAGATAAGTGGATTACCCTAGAAAATATCACGGCAGTGGATAACCAGAAAGTCCCGGAAACTACCCAAGTTATACCTTGGGAAATTACACTTATGAATATTGTTCTTCTGAGAAGATCCTTAGATAAGGATAAGAGACTTGAAAGAGGAAGGGCGTATTACTGCATTAATATAAAGATCCGGATTAACAACCCTGAGTAAACAGGAAGGGCGTATTACGGCATTAATATAAAGATCCGGATTAACAACCCTGAGATACTTGAAACAGGAAGGGCGTATTACGGCATTAATATAAAGATCCGGATTAACAACCCTTGAGTTACTTGATTATTGACCCCGAATGAGATAATGAGAAGAACAATAATTGAGGCTTTATAATTATGGAGTCCTGGTAGAGCGGGGCGTCCCAAGATATCACTTCACCCTAAACTAGTGACTATGGAACAGCCTACTCTGGAGTGAGGGTAAGGCATTAAACAGATCCGGATTCTTCCCTACACTCGATAAGACTTAATACACGACTGCCACGTGTAATAACAGGTAAGCCTTATGACATTGGAACCTAATATCCTACGTCTGTCACTCTTACTGTACGGTAATACCAATATATGCACACACATATGAAGGAAACTTTAAACCACTGTAAAGCAATTGAGAACAGAAGTGACTGGGAGGAATAATTAACAATGAGTAACAAGGGGGTTAAGAAATATGGCACTTAAGGTCGGGTCCTGTCACGGTCGCCATTTGTTACGAGTTGGGGATTTAGAATATAGTTAAAAGTCTACCCAGATCCCAACAGGCAACAACAATAAAAAAAACAAAGACAATCGGACTATGAAAGGGTAGACAAAGGATGCGAGTTTTTGTTGTGTATAATAAAGTACCATAAATTCCTTAACAAAATATTCAGCTTTCTATAATTTACCCTTAACTATACTTAACCTAAACATTAACAGTATATACATATTTATACAACATAAAACAATCGTGAAGCAAGGTGGAGGTGGGAGGCAATATAAGATTACAAATACTTAAGTGCAGAGCTGAGATGGCTGACGAGTAAGGCTGAGTATTGTAGAAGACGGTAGGTAGTCACTGTGCCGTAGGTTTCCAGGATAGGTGATCCTGTGGTCACTTCCCAGAGTGAACTGAACTCTCATTGAACTGGAGCTTATGAAGAAGACTTGGAGGAGGTGACGCAACAACCAGGATATGGAGAAGGGAAACCCCGGAGTGGTAACTAAGACTAGTCATACTCGTGTTTCGTCCCTAGATGGCGTTGTTCGTGGTGCTGGGTAGGTAGATCATGACAATTGATGGCATGGTTCGTAACACCGTGTTAAGGAAACCACACCTGGCCAAGACCCACCCGGGCAGTAATAATTACAAAGCACTATTGTCCTGCGACATGACCTCACCTGGGTAAACACCTGTCCAGACCTGACCCAAGGGAGATCAAGGACCCGCTAATCAGCCAGCACCCCTGTTACCCAACCCAACAACCCGGTCAAGACACACCCACTTAAGTAGGAGAGGTCACCCTCCGGCTCCTCCAATATATAGGTGCTGGAGCTCCTCTCACCGGCGAGAGTCTGATAACCAAGGAGGGCCAGCAACCAATTCCCCTGTCCCGCTCATCAAAGAAGTCCGTCACTAAAGGCAACGAGGTCTCCGCCGGGTGCATCGACAGAGTGCTGTCAATTCAGCGTATAACTGTAAGTGCTGGCTGTGTAGGCGGTAGAAGTGCAGTGATCCCGAACCTTCCAGCGATCGACTTAGTGAAGTGCCCATTCGACTTGTGAAGTTAAACGAACATATCATAGTCCATCATACCCTGTGTACGAATCCCCCCCCCCATTAATTCCCCCTATGCAACTAGTAAAATAAAGCTGTAACACGCAGTTGTGTTTTATATACTACACTTGTGCTGGGCCTGTGTTAATATACGTAGTCTCTCCCACACCCTCGAGACACGCTACCAAACTTCCTGTCTTTACATCCTCCTGCTATAAATATTCTACCTATTAGTCAAAACCTCTTCTGATGAATTTTGTCTCATTTCAGTACTATGGTTCAATAGCTCATCTGAGATTGAGTGTCGGATTTTGGGGGAAAGTTAATTATTTTGTGATAATGTTTTATTAACGCAGCACTAAATGAACCTAAATAATATGGGAATTATGATGAGATTGCATTCTGTTGTTATAAAAGGATCACGGGCTGAAGAGCACGGGAGGTAAATTGCCCTCTCCTCCCTCCTTCTCTGCCACCCGCCAGTTTTTCTCCCGGGCTATGCACCCAAACGTATTTTTGTACAGTATCTTAACAAGATACATATTATATTCTTAAAATTCATTCATCTTAATCTATTTCATAATATATTCCTAGAATAATACTGTAAGTGACTTTTTGGAACTGGGAAACCTGTGATGTTGGTAGGGTCTCCTATGCATCCAGGCCAAGGTTCGAGCCCCAAACTTATTGATGAGAGTTACGACTAACACCCCTAAACAAAAATATTGAACCAATGTGAAAAATGTATGATAAGAACTCAATAAATCTATCTATCTATACTTAAAATGTGTACGTTTTTACAATTAAAAGTGCTGTATGTATGCACTGTATTTAATTTATTATTTCATTCAATACAGTATACATTTATTAAATATTGTCGTATTACTTATTAATCTAATAAATTTATTTACTATGATGTGTGTCAAATTTATATACTGTGCAAGAAATCCATAATACAGTGGGGCTAAGTGTAGCATAGGCAAATTTACCATTACCAGGTAGTTATAATTATCATCCTTATATTTAATGGGGATATCTGTCAACCAGCACAACCCTGATCCAAAGGTTAACAGATAAGTTGGGGTCAACATATACAGGTAGTTACTCTATATTGACTAATTAATGCAGGTATACAGTACAGGTTGACAACCCTTTATCCGAAATTCCAAAAACCGAAAAGCTCTAAAAACCAAAAGTTTTTTTGTGGGCATAGATCACTGACCCACATCGGGGCCTGGGGGGCGAAAATGTAATAGTAATAATAATTATAATAATTATTCATAGTAAATAAAAATGTTAATGAAAAATACACCAAAATAAAATAGTAATGATAACAATAATAATAATAATAATAATAATAATAATAAAATATAATACTAAAATTAATAATAATAATAATAACAATAATACTGTAATAATAAAATAATAATAATAATAATAATAAAGAATTACAAGAATGAAAAAAAAGATCAAAAGTGAGAAACACGACCTAGACCTATGAATTGTTATTATTATTTTAATTTGTATTATATTTTCGCCACCCAGGCCCCAATGTGGGTCAGTGACTTGTGCCCGGGTAGGCTAAAAAAAAAAAAAAAATAAAAAAAATAAATAAATAAATAAAATAAAATAGCCATTATGAAAACCGAAAAATTCCGAAATCCTAAATGTCTCTGGCCCCAAGGATTTCGGATATGGGATTGTCAACTTTACATACATAAAAAAATATTTTGCAAAATTTTGCTTGAACCATGATATCAGTTAATATCAGAGAAAGCACACTGTCTATAAAAACATGAGTTCAGTAATTCAATATGAATTCTTTTTCAGGGAGGCGGTGCTCGATTTATTAGATATAATTGCTCAGTAGTCAACACACGTGTCGGATGGACATTGATGCATCCAGGACGTCTCACCCACTACCATGAAGGACTGCAGACTACAAAAGGCACACGTTATATCATGGTTTCTTTTATTGATCCTTAATATGATTGATAAGCTTAACGTACATTTTATATATTTTTATGATCTTGAAGCACTTTAGTGGTAATGTACCTTTTATGTATCATGGTAATGATTAGTACAATACTGAATTTTCAAGTGAAAAATTATCATGACAAAGATCTGTCTTAAAGAATTTCATGTTTGTTGTGGATGTTTGTATTTTAATTTTAAAATTGTAAACATAGTTAACCAATTTAAAACTAAATATGTTTGTTAATACATTTTTTCCCAAGATGTCATTGTGCCTTGTCTCATGCTAAGTTTTGTGAGTACCCTGTAATCATTCTATATAACGGAATGAAGTGTGTAGACCGAGTCCACAAAAAGGAGGATTCTGCTAAATCAACTATACAGCTATACCTCTGGCAATGAAGTGGATGTGTTCATGAAATCCATTCTGTCCTCAGAAACTTAGTTGTCAAAGTTAGATTTTTCGATGGAAGTAGTTTCCAATCCTTTGTATAAAAACTGCCATCATAAATAATAAAAATGATACATAGCACATTGTAAAATACAAATGCAGCTGCCCTGACAATTTGCGAATTTTTAATTCGCAGACCTCGATTATTCGTAGATGACACCCAGGATGTACCCAAGAATGTCAAAGAGTAGTTTTAAAGTTGCTGGCATTTTCATGGCTGGGACTGGGAGCCATTCCTTCTAGAGACAGTAATTTCTTTTACCTGTATTGTATATGTGTTTGTGTGTGTGTGTGTGTAGACAAACGCACGCAAAATACATACAAATAAATAATAATGGGAAAATCCTCTCACAAATAATCAGAAACAAGACAACAAAATGTATTAAAAATGTGAGTCTACCTTCAAGTCAATTCCGTGCTTTGTTAAGATGTTAGCAAAATAACTAGTAAAAATTTCTAGTTTCTATAAAAATTGAGAGATGCATTTACTTACCCTTTTCATTAGAGAATTTAGCACTCACTTTAGGCATGGTAACAATTATATATGTGCACACATGCTGGAAGAATACAAAAACACCTGGGAGACCACTACAATGTATACTGTAGTAAGGCAAATCGGAAAACTCCCTTTATCTAGTGGAATCCTCTTCCAGCTGCAGAAGCAAATACCAGCACAAATTCCTTCCGCTAAATCGAACATCTCCTAAAGAGAACTCCGTTATAAGGAATGATTACTGTACTCTACTTCTCTGTTGCAAACAAAACCAATGCTCTGAAGCAGATTCAGTACTTTATTTGTTTATCAGACTGATTGTGCCATAAGACATTCCAGAACAGCATATATTCTGGTACTGTATAATAAAGCTTTGTCATATCGGTTCATTTTGTCCTATCTTATTTCCTTATACAGTAATATTACATATTAGAACCATAGTAATATGAGGGGCAGGAACTTTTTTTCGAAAGCTAAAAGTTTGTCCCCCCCTAATCTTCTTCCCTCCTTCCTTCCATAAAATACACCCAAAGGTAGTGCATTAAAGTATCTGTCAATCAAAAATTGCAGGACCAAGAGGCTTTTGTAGAATGGATAAGTGAATGAAATGCATACAGATTGACCATCGATTATTCGGCACTCACTGGTACGACACCACCACAGGCCCAGACATAATATCTAGGATCTGTTCCCTCAATACAATTTAATTTTAATTATTATCTCTTATTGCTCTTGTTTAACCCCAACTGCATCTGCAAAAAAAGAAGCAATTGTTAGTGGTGGTACAAAACACAAACATCATCCCTTATCAATTCAAGAAAAGGTAAGACTTCTGAAAACCTCACAGTGGTGTTTTGGTACAAAGCTTGTGTGATTTATATGGTGTAGTTTTCATCACAACATATGATGTAAAGAAACTGACTTGTAAGTGTTCATTATAGGATTAAGGGACAGAGGATGGTGATGTTCCTGGGAATGCTTATATGTCTGTGACCCCCCTACTAAATTTCCTAAAAGACAAATACAGTCATTCCCTGATTTTTTTTAATTTATCTTACTTTATCCTCTTCATCACTGATTGGCTTCTTTACCACTTTGGTAATCAGTCACATCTGTTACCACTGTTAGCAAGTACTGGGCATGTACTGTCTTCAGAATTTTCCTCCTCCAAAAAATGAGCAAATATTATTATAATGAATAATAAAAATTACATAGCATATCATAAAATACAAAAGCACATAATATTTTATGTACAAAAAAGCTCTTTCCTCCCTCCTAAAATCATTTGGGTGATGCCTGGTGTGAACCACACAGTTCAGACAGGCAACTACCTAGCTGATTCAGAGATGTGTGTATCTGCTGCACTGTATGTATGCCATGACATCACTTCAGGGAAGCACCATGACTAGGCTCAGGACACAGTTACAACCCACACACTTACAAACACACACACACACACACACATTTTTCTTATTTTATAATGTTATATTAATTTTATTTCTAAGGCAGTATTGAGTATTGAATTGATTTTTCCACAAATTTTATACTGTACTTACTGTATTTTCATTCCATGTAACAATGGCAACATGAGTAGCCATCTCATAGCTGACTGACAATGTGAGTTATAGGAATTTCACAGTATTATTACTCACACACGCACACCTCCTCTCTCTTCCATTGACTTAATTGCTGACTTATTATGTGTGTTTGTGTTCAGAATAGTATTAGTAAAGTTTGTTCTGTGTTAGTGTATTACCGTACGCATATTTGTGACATTGTAGAGCCAGGATTTTGTTGTGTAGAAACCTATCTCCACTTATATAATGGGGTATTGGAAAATTAGGTTCAATATAGGAAATTTCTGATTTATGGCAAGATTTTTTTTTTAAATATGTTATATTGATATTCTAGTACAGTATCCAAGGATGATTTAGAGTTAGCATGAGGTGTTTTGCTAGTGCCGGGGTCAACAATCTATGGCTCCAGAGCCACATGCAATTCTTTCAGGAAACTTGTGCAGCTCCTGCCACCTGCTTAAAAATTTATTGATTACCATATTTAAAAAAAAATATTGAAGTTCGTAGAGGTGCCAGAAAGAAAGCTGTGAAGGAATTGAAACACAAAACAGAACAAAGTGAGCATACATATTTACAAAATTGGTGTTCCTCAAGTAACACAACTGCAGCCAGTTTTGTGAGAAACCAAGAGATACTTTACGTGGAACATTGTTTATTGCATGATCTGAAAAATGGCAGATGAAATTTAATGTGGACAAATATAATATACGTAGTCTCGGAGATGTAAACAGAGAAACCAGATATAAGGTGAACAATGTTGATATAGAGAAATTAGACTGTGAGAAAGACTTAGGGGTTATGATAAGTACGAATCTTAAACCAAGACAACAATGCGTATTTGCTTGAAACAAGGCTGACAAAGTACTCGGGTTCATACAAAGGAGTGTTACTTACAAGACTAGTGAGGTTTTCCTAAAACTGTGTCTTGCACTTCTGAGACCTTACTTGGATTATGCAGTTTAGTTTTAATCCCCATACTACAGGATGGATATCGAATCCCTAGAAAGCATACAGAGGAGGATGACAAAACTAATCTTGGGCATTAGGATCCTTGAGTATAGAGACAGATTAAAGCATCTGAATTTGCATTCCCTCGAAAGACGTAGAGTGAGGGGCGTTATGTTTGAGGTATATACAGTACTCATAAATGGAAGTCAAGGTTAAACAAAGGTGATATAGCAAAAGTACTTAAACTATCCAACCAGGAGCGAACTTGTAGCAATGGTATTAAATTAGACAAATTTAGATGAGATAGGTGAACACTGGCATGAAAATAGAGTAGTGAAGCAAGTCACCGAACATCATCACTAACTCAAACGCTCTGGGTAGCTTTAAATATAGGTGGGATGGATATATGAGTGATAAGGGTTGGGTGTAAACGGGAGCTGCCCTGTATGGTCCAATAGACCCGCTGCAGTTTCCTTCATTCATATGTTCTTATCAGCATCTGCTCAGTGATTTCAAAAACATGGACGAAATAGTTAAAAAATTAGGAATACAGTCGGCCCTTAACATACGCGGGGGTTAGGTAACAGAGATACCTGTGAATGTTAAAAATCCGTGTACTTTTGCTGCCCTCCCCCACCCCCCCTAAAAAACCCCTGGCCCCCCATGTCCTTATTTACCGTATATACTTGTGTGTAGTTCGAGTTTTTAAGACCTCTAAACGGGTAATAGTTTCGTTAGGTTGAAAAATATTTACCAGTAACTACCAGTAAACAATGGAAACGACGCACCAACGCACCACCAGTTGAGAGTGTCGGTACAGTTGCCAGGGCAGGTCTCTTGCGTCATCATAGCAAGCCCAAAGTAGCCAAATGCATGGTATGGTAGCACCGGACGATGTAAAACATAAAGTATTCATTTTTTAAAGTTTATTTATAGATACTGTACATAAATTTTTGTTCATTACATTTGAAACATCAATCTTTGTTAATTAAATTTGAAACAAAAGAAAACTACGATACCGTATTTTCATTAAAATATTACATCACAAGTATATTTTCCCTTAACTGTGACTGAATGAATATATTCTCAGAAATAAATATGGAAATGTAATATTTTGGCTGAAATGATGTACATATTACAGTGGAAAGTGGGATAAAATCATGACGAAAACAATGACTTTCGCTTTCTTTCGTTGTTCAAAAGATTTTACCGTAATCGCTTTTCGAATGGTTTTCAGTTAAAAAACTGTTGTACAGGTTGTACCTCTCTAGTCCGGCAATCTCGGGACCTGACCGGTGCCGGACCATGGAAATTCGCCCTTTTCCTGGATACATAGTGACTTGTGCTTATGCTTGGAAGCACTAGCACCACTCTCTCTGCTTCATGGTCTCTTTGAAGACATATTGAAGGGTTAAATGTCATACAGTAGCTTCTCAAATTTCGCGAGTTTTTAATTCGACGTTTTCTATTTGAACACACACATAAAAAAAAACACATTAAAAAATTTTGACGGCCGAAACTCGAATTTCGACGGGTTTGAACGGCCCACCAACGTTCAGACGACGTGCACAATCCTGTAAACAGCGTCATTTCTCTTATGTACAAAAGATTTATTATTGTTTATTACTGAAAGTCTTTTTGATTGAATTAATGTTTGTGTGTGCAAAATGAGCAACACAATTCATTAATAATACGTAGAATATTAAAACACGAGGAAATGAGACAGCATTGTTTTCGTTGATTACAAAACCAGTGACTGACTGGTTCTACATATAAAACTGAAGAAAATAAGACCCTGGTTGTAGCTGTAGTAAAATTAATATGGTTGTTTTAAGTAATGTTATTTAATATTAATAAATGGAACAATAGAAGTAGCTTACGATAATGGTAAAGAAAAAAGAGAGATCGCTTATGTAAGTGCGCACACGTGAAAACATATCGTCATTACTTTACATAAGAATATGAAAGCAACACTTATTTACTGTTCATATATATTTTAATTAATGTTTCTGAATTTGTTTTTATTGAATTAATGTTTGTGTGTGCAAAATTAACAATACAATTTATTAATAATACGTGGAATATTAAAACACACGAGGAGACGAGACGGCTGCCGGCATTGTTTTTGTTAAATCTTACAAAACCAGTGAATGATTGGTTCTACATATAAAACTGAAGAAAATAAGACCCTGATTGTAGCTGTAGTAAAATTAATGTAAAAAAATTAATATGGTTGTTTGAAGTACCTGTAATGTTATTTAATGTTAATAAATGGAACAATATAAGTAGCTAACCATTAATGGTAAAAAAAAAAGTGAGACTGCGCGTATGCAAGTGCGCACATGTGAAAACATATCGTCATTACTCTACATAAGAATATGAAAGCAACACTTATCTACTGCTGTGTAGACAAGCAGAGAGAGAGAGAGAGAGAGAGCCGCCGAACTGCCAGATGTAAACAAACCTTAATTTCCCGCGGCTTTGTTGTTTTGTTTTTTATGGGAATTAGCCCACCCGGGCATAGGTCACAGACCCACATTGGGGCCTGAGGGGCAAAAATTTAATACTCCTGTAATAATAATAATAATAATTCAGATAAGTTAAAAAAAAAAAATGTTTCCTATCTACCTATTGGACAAACTAAAATCGTTCCGGACCACGGGAGTTTTCGGACCACAGAATGCCGGACTAGAGAGGTACAACCTGTACTGTACTGTATTGCAATAATATTCTATCCTATCATTAGCCTCATAATCCCACAACTGAAAACCATTCGAAAAGCGATTACGGTAACATCTTTTGAACAAAAGAAAGCGAAAGTCATTGCTTTTGTCACAATTTTATCCCACTTTTCACTGCAATAC